TAGATACCAGCAAAAGGTATATACAGCAATATCCTTACTCGAGTGCCTATTTTGTTCTTTTGAAAGAGACATATACACATATACGTATACTGTGAGCTACATTACTTTGCTACTGAACAGATTATTACCGCATGATCCATCGACTTTCTGCAACCAAGGCAACTGATAGCAGTCAGTTACCCAAAGGAAAACTGTCTCCTTAGGCCGTGTGCTTCTCTCAATCAAAATTAAAAACCACCACAAATACATCACGCCAGACACTAACGAAGCAAACAATCAAACACGCATGCAAAAAAGGTCGAGCTCAAGTTGACTACATTTTTTTGATACCGGTAAATGAAAAAGTATTCACATCCCGGTGCCCTCTCTTTCAAAGATGCTTGATATCGTCCTTCAGCTCCCTGTTGGTTCATCCAGTCGTGAAATAGCCTTGTTGTTCATTCGTTCGTTTCATCCACAACAGACCGTTGGACACGGACACGTCCGGCTTTCAGGCCGCAATGAGTGCTGGCGCTTTCTATGCGCCGAGGCTGGGGAAGGCGCTTGAGTCGGTGATGTTGGGACCGGGGGCACCGCCGCGGCCACCACGACCACGGGCATCACCACGTCCACGAGTCTCACCGCCACGGCCACGTCCGCGGAACTCTCCACGACCTTCGCCGCGACCGCGTCCCTCGCCGTTTCCACGTCCACGTCCCTCGCCGCCACGGAATTCGCCACGGCCACGGCCGCGTCCTCGGCCGCCGCCCTCACGGGGAGGGGGAGCAAGCATACGGTCACCGTCGAGCTCAACGTGAACCTTTTCCTTGCGCGCGCGCTCGCGCTTGGCCTTGCCTTGTCCACCGGCAATGAAGTCTTCTTGGTCGTCGCGGGAAAGCGCAGTACCTTCGGGGAACTTCTGGCTGCTACCCTCGTTGGCCTTGCGAACGTTCTGGGCGGCAAGAGAAAGCTTCTTCTCGGCCAGCTCAGCAAGGTAGGCAGCGTAGGACTTGCTCTTGTCCTCGGGCTCGGGCTCGGCGTTCTCGCCCTCGGCATCTTCCCGAATAGCGTCCTTCTCTTCAGCCTGAGCGATGGCCTCGCCAGCCTGCTCATCAGCCAACTCAGCGTCGCCGTCCTTTCCTCCCCAGCCGTGAGCAACTTGCTTGTCGTGTTCGCTAGAAGATGTTAGCATGGTCAAAGTGGGGTTAAAGGAGGGGAATTTTCTCACCTGATGCCGGTCCTGCTGTGACGGTCACCCTCGCCGCGGGCACCACCACGGCCTCCACCGCGTCCACCACGACCACGACCGCGCTGGCCACCGCGAGCTCCAGTGCCAGTAGGTTCTAGTTGGGATTAGCATCAACACAAACCGACCATTGGATCCCCACTCACCACCAGATCCCCTTCCGCGGTTCTTGTCAGATCCTACGCCACGATCCCGGAAAGCTGTGCTTCATTAGCCCTTGTTCGCATGGATGCTCTACGGAGGTTCTAATGTATCTCCAGCACCCGGCATGTCTGACATACCGTTCTCGTTGGCATTGTCGGTCTGCTTGGCACGGTTCTGGTGGCTCTGCCTCTCGGGGATGGACTTGGGGAGGTCGGATCCATCGCGCTTGCCATGCCTCATGACGGGCTTCTCAATTGCCCTCGTTGGCGGGTCAGCCGGCCTGTTGGGGTCGAGCTCAGGGTCATTGCCTGCGGGGTCATGAGTGTTTGTTCTGCGACTGTGCCATGTATCCAGACATACCCAGCAGCTCGTAAATGTTCTGCACTTGGAGTTAGCCATTGGACTGGATAGAGGACTGCAGCCGGCACTGCAGCTCCCAATTGCGAGGCGCGGATTTGGATTTCGCAGTGGGGTGACTTGAGAGCTTACCTTTGAAGCGATTTGAGACATCTTGACGGATTGGAGCGCCTTTCGCGCTTTGCCCTTCTAGATGCACAATCTGCCGGGTGGAAAAAAGAATTCGAGAGCTTCCCTACGGTGGTTAGGGACGTGGCTCTCAGATGTGGCTCGCGAACGGGGTAATGGGCGCGAAGTTGCGGGCAAGAGGTTCGAAAATCGGCGTGGGTTGCTGCCGTAAGCGAGTCAAGTGGGGCACAGACCATCCGTAGAAGGCACAAAGAAGCACCAAAGGGTAGCTCTCTGTGCCGCCGCGTACGGCGCTTGGACACGTTATTGTACTATCGCTTGTGAGGGGTAAATGTGACTTTTTTTGTATGTCCAGAAATGCTATTTCACAGGCCCATGGCGCCCGAAAGTGGCTGGTAGAATTTTGAGTGGTTTGCTTATTCCAAGTGCGCATTCAGACGCAAGTCGAAGTTCACCCATAACAAGTCAGGTGCACCCCGCTTTGAAGCGAGAATAGGTGACAGATGAACAATTAGCCAAACTTGCCTTTACTTGTGAATATCAATGTCAGATTCCTGTTTCAGATTTGGTGAGGCGCGAGAATGGCTGTTGCGACCGACTTTGCATTACAATATATACAAAGCAACACTGAATCTCTAATCAAGAGGCCGCGGTGCCACAGTAGAAGACTGGGTTACTTTGTAAAGCATGCCCACTTCCTCATGGCCGGAGCCTAAAAAAACATCCCGTCACAAATACAACTGTCGCGTCCAAGCCACAGATTGAATAAAAACTTTTAAATATCACTATCCCAAGGCGACCGGTCTTTCGTATCGAACACCGTCGTACGGCAATGACACATGGTCGGTTGGGTAAAAGCAGTTGTTGCGCCCGCTAAACAACGTGGTCAAGAAGGTATGAATAGGTGAGTTTTTACACGGTCCCTGGTGGACATCCGGAATAATCTTCTCTTACTATCGTATCGTTCTCGTAGCATCATCTGCTCTCGTACATGGTGGGGAAGTGCATGCTGGCGGACAGTCCGAATGGATCGGCGTCGAGCATTGGATCGTAAGGGTCGAAGAGATGGTTGTTGCTCATGCCATTGAAGACTTGGCCACCATCGTTTGGTGCTAATGCGGCCGGGCTGGTGAAGGGAGGGTTCTGAGAAGGCGGCATTGGCGGTGGCATATTGTTTGAAGGTGGAAAGTTTTGTTGTGGAAATGGGCCGGGACCGGCAGAGTGATCGCTCGGATCGTCGTGGTCGTAGGAGTCTGCTTGTTCCTCATACTCCTGCTCTGTAAGAGGATATTAGCCTAGGATTACAAAGTCCTATACATAAGTAGAGGGGAAGAAAAGGAAACGGGTTAGCGTGCCTAGTTGACTCATGTGGTCCGTGAACTGCGTCTGGTAGAATGAGGAAGGACCGTTGCTCGGTGTTACACCGTTTCCGCTGTTACCGACAGTCGAAGCATTTGACATGCCGTTTGAGGAAGGCTGATTTGTTACTAGCGAAGGTCGTTGAGCTCCCATCATAGGGGTAAAGTTTGATCTAGGTGGCTGTGGTCGAAGTGGTTGCTGCTGCTGCTGTGGCTGTTGTTGTTGCTGCTGCTGTTGCTGCTGCTGTTGTGAATGCATAGGTCCAAAATTGGGGGATACTGATTGACCATGGGGCATGAAATTGGGCGAGCGAGTCGCTGATTGAGCAGGAGATGAAAGATGGGAGCCTGGAGTAGGCTGGGTCAAGGGAGATCGCTGAATAGGACCATCAGGTTGGATCATGGGTAGGCCATTGGAGGCGTCAATCTTGGGCGGGCCTTGCAGCGAGCGCCTCTGTTGCTGTCTATTCAACATGGCACGTTGCTGGAGAGGGGCCTGGTTGGGCGAGGCGTGTGCAGCTAGTGGAGGTCTGGTGGCTCCGAGATTTGGACTGCCAGTCTTTGCGCGCAGCTCAGCCTGGACGTCGATGCCTAGAGGCGAAGTAGCGGGTTAGCGCGTGTTGCTTGATCAGACGTCTGGGGAAAAACGGGGTCAGGGCTACCTTTCTCTAGCAGAATCCTCTCGAGTAGAGAATTCTTATACCGGAGCATAAGGCACTCGTCAGCGGCATTGCGGTGACTATTTTGCAGGTTCTGGAGGGTGTCTTCATGATGCTTAATGGTGCTCTCCAATTGCTTGATGTACTCTGTTCTTCGCTCACGGAAGGCGGCCTGGGCCTGCCTGTTCCGCTGCTTGCGCTCTTCCGAGGTGGCATAAATCTTACGAGGGCGTGTTAGTTCTATCATAGACGCGGTAGCAACTGCTGCAGTCATGGGCGGCAATTGGTGGCGGGAGGGCTCACAGGTTTACGGCCGCCTTTGCGCTTCTGCTGCTGGGGCTCTTCCTGGGGATATGGCTCGGCCAGGCCAGGCTCGGGCGACGATCCGATAGACGAGGTCGAACCGTCGCGCTGAGCCTCTACTTTGCCCACGGGAGCCGTCATATCTGTTACGAGACTATCTCCCATCTGCGGCCAGCGCACCCCTCCGTCCTGATAGAGGGGCCGTTGGGCGCCAAGAGATGGGGAAAAGGCGACAAAGGCAGGTCGGTCAGGGTGACAAGAGGCTCTGGTCGCTTAGACGCGCTTGCAGTGGGCAGCCGCAGTGCCGGGACGGGGAATGGATACGGTGTGTATGGGGGATTGATAATGTCTGATAAGAAGAAAGGGTTGGGGCCTGTGGGTGGTCGCGCAGTAGTTGTGAGGTAAGCTCTTGGGTAATGGAAACAAAGATGGGCTCGAACGGAGGGGCGGAAGTGCTGGACTTGAAAAGGCGGGCGGACCACGCTCTTTTGCCCTGCCCAGCGCAGCCAGCTCGACTCCGTGTGGTTAAGACTCGCGGCTGGCCGCCCCAGCAGTGCTTTGTCGGTGGGCGGGCGGGCGGACAGCAAATGGCCACTGTTGGCGCTCCGGCGCTGGGCACCACCTCGCTATGACGGCCAAGCGGGCGGGATGAGCACTGGCTGGCCGCGAAGCAGAGATTTTTTCTTTCTTTCGCGGGGGGGCCTGTCGCAGCCGCAGCCGCAGCGGGCAGTGGCACCAGCAGCAGCAGCGTCGCATCATCAGCATCATCATCATCACGAGCGAGGGTGGCAGACTACTATGGGCAGGCCCTGCCTGGGCGTGCGTTCAGTCGACGTCTTGGTGGAGGGGCCCTGAACATGGCTGCTGCTCACGGGCTGGACTGCCATGCCGCCTTGGGCCTAGCGCGCCCTTAGCTCCCGCGCCACCACCACTTTTTGCACTGCTTTCTCCGGTTTCTCCAGCGCACGCAGACGCGCCGCCACAGTGCTCGCTCGACTGCCACAGGACACCGCTCGCGGATATGATATGTAATGGACGCACCAGCCCTCTGCTGTTCTCTGCGTACACATGCTACACATACGACCCTCTACAACACACGACCCATCTGCCTGCTCACCCGCCCGCTGCCCCGCTGCGCCACGCGGCTCCGTCACTGTTGCACTCGCTCCGCAAGAGCAGAGGCCGACGTCGGCAGGGCGAGGGCCTGGGTTGGCACATACCGATGACCTCCTCGGCCGGCATATCACCTCTCCTCGTTCGCACACATGGGCTGACGGGAGTGAGGGGGCGCACCCGTCCGCGTCCATAGCTGTCTGCATGACATGCCCCGACCGGCGCCGACAAAAGTCAAATTACAACCACGTCCATCCACCTCGTCCATGGCCATGTCACTACCTGCACCGCGGCGTCTGTCCACCGGCCTGGCTGGCAGCGCACCTGCTCCCGCCGGGAAGCCGCCAAAGCCCCGGGCCACGCCCATCACTAGTACCAACGCCTTGGCTCCCTCGAGACACACCGAGTTTTGGCCATGGGATCGCCGAAGCCGTTGCTTTTATGCACCGCCTGAGCCTCGTTAACCACGTCCAGTCGTAGCGTCGTCGCCCGCAATGTCCGCCTGAGCACCCACCTGACCTGCACACGGTCGAGACTCGCCATACCACTCACCCTCCGCGACCCTCTGCACTGAGAGCCACCGTGAACAAAGGTTCAAATTCCACCTGTGCGCCCGCAGTGGGCCGGAGCTGCGTATGCCCCGGATATACTTGCCCCTTTGGGCCTGGCTCGCCGCTGCAATTGGATGTTTACACCTCCAACGACGTTGCAGCAGGGGGTGCCCTACAGCAACCTCGTCTCCAACCACATGTCTCCCCTCACCCTCCACGCTCGTCACCTTCCCAGTCACTCTCCTCATACGATTCCAGCTAACAATACTCCGAAGCGTATCCATGGGTACGGTACCATTGTTGCCGCTGTCAATGCTACTGCTACTAGAGTACACCTACTGCTGGCGCAAAATATGGTTTATGCTAATGCTTTGAACCGCTCCTCAGCTAGAGTACTATCCGCGGACCGCAGTCCACTGTAACTTTACAGAATTGCACAATGCCTCGTAGAAAATTGCACATTTCCATTGTTGACGTTGCCCATTGCTCTTGCTGATTTGACTACTCTGTGCGACATGATCGTAGAAGGAGCAAACACCCCAACGCTCTTGCCTCACTACTTCGCTGCTTTGCCCCGCCAATTGCCATAATCACCCATCTCAGAATACGCATTCTTCTTGTACAACCCTCGGGCCACAACCTCTACTCGTCCACCAACATATCCCAGCATTGACACTGTCTTGTATGACTTTCTTCCCGTCTTCACTACTTTCAGGTCTCGTATTTACCAATCTAACCCCCCTGAAAAGTAGGCAGAAATGGCCTTTTCAGAGATGATTGAATGTCTGCTAACGAAAGCAAGGTCTCGGGTCCGACACTAGGCAGAGATTACATACCAACCTGCATCTGTATCCTCCACCACATCCGGTTGGTGTTGCAACTCCGTCTGTGTCACCCGAATACGACAACACGCAATTTCTGAGCTACAACGGCATGATCGGCAGCCCTACCAACGGGCCCGGTGCACATCCAGCAGTCGCTTCTCGTACAAAGCCCCGAACTCTATCAGACATTCGTGAAGCAACTGAGTCGACCATTGCTGACACTTTGTCACGCGATATCTTGGCCGGGACTCCTCTCCACTGCCCATCCCCTACCGAAATGTCACCGGCTTCTCATGACGCGTCCAGACAATGTCACAGCAATGATGTTCGGAATGTGGAGAATATTGAACCCGAGAGCAGAAACAGCGTCGAGAGCGATGGTTTGAGATACGTTCATCGAGGCAGATTTTCAGAAACACCGTCATCACAAAATCTCATAGACTACAACAACGGAACCAACATATCCAGTGTTTCTGCAAGCAATATCCCCCCGCGGTCATCTTCAAAATTTCGTGTACGCAGTGTTTCAAGAATGCGAAAGACACAGCAAATACTACCCCAGAGCATAATACGAAGCACGACAGCAGAAACACTCAACTTGGTACAAGCAAGGCCCCTATCACCTTCTAGAAGTAGGACTAGGAGCATCCCTAATCATGGCCAATCTCAGTCTCCTGTCCGCCTCACTGCTGCACGCTTCAACCCTGTCGCACATGACACCAATAGGCGCACCCCCTCCAAGACGTTCATTCGTCAGTCTTTACCGAAAGAGCTCCTAGAACATCCGGCACACCGCCATCCCCGAATTGAGCTCGGGTTGGATTTATCAGCAGGAGTATTCGTCGGTGGAGGATGTATTGAAGGGACTGTCCAGATATACATTGACGATGCGGAGCGAGTACGCCACAGACGAACGCTAGACATTGCTCAGATATCTATCGATCTTCTTGGAATTGAGGAAACCAGCGGCAATAGGCGGGCTGTGTTCCTGAGCCTGGCTACAGAGCTCATTGACAGGGAGAATCCCCCGCCCCAAAACATGGTGGACACGCAGGAGTTAATTGGCCCAGAAAATAAATTCTGGCATCTTGTGCCTTCCACTACTAATCTTGCATTCAGCCTTAGTCTCCCACTTGATGTTGGACCTCCTCCATTCTACTCAAAGAACGCGAGGATCCGATACTTGCTCTATGCGTCCCTGCTCATCCGGGACCGGAGCAAGCGGCATCTTGTTAGAACCTCTGAAGATGTCACTGTACTGCCCGTGTATGATCGTATGTCTTCTCACTACGCCTGTCTTTTGGGCGGCTCTGACCATATGACAGCTGAAAAGGCACTGGTTTCACTTCCCAGCCCACTGAATGCCTCTGATGAGTGGATCAGGCCCCGGGACACGACTGTTGAGGTCGTCCGGCTCACTGCAGGCATACATCGTCAAGTATGGGTCAGCGGTACAAACATTTTCAGCGACGTTTATATTGCCAATAATAGCCACAAGACAGTGAAGAAGATTGAGCTTCAGCTGGAGAGAGACATACTGTGCTACAAACATGTTTGTAGCAAAAGTCTGTTCTGTTGCTTCTTGCTGATGCTAATGAGAACTGTGTGCAGGCTGCTGCATCCACTATGGAGAAGTCTGCAGGTCAGGCTCGTATCTTTGACAGCAATGAGCGTACCATATTGAGCAAAGCAATGGTAAAGAATGGCTCGGCTGGCTGGCATGGTGTGGCTGCAGGCCAAACTCACCTCCGTACCTGCGACCTGGAAGTTCCCCGTGGGCATGCTACAGTGAAATGTGGTATGAAACTACCGCCATAACATAGACAGAACACTAATATTGCATGCAGGCAAATATTTTGAAGTCCGATATTTCCTCAACGTTATCGTCTGCAGCGCACACACGTTAGGATGCACGCAAAGTTTCACAGATCAAGCTGACATTGCGTAGAAGGCTTGTTACTGTTCAGCTACCGATTGTGCTTATCCACATGGTGCGTGTCATCACAAGAATGTGTCCTCTTTGCCCTCGATTGACACCTGCGCCACAGAACTCTCTCGACGTAGTACCCAACTCCGTCACACAAGTGGCTTTGGCGATTGAGGAGAAGCGTACCGCAAATCACTCACCCCCACGTCTCAGTCGTCATACCTCTCGATCCGTTCAAGGCCGTGCATTTGCAGCACCACGCACAGAATCCCTCAAACGCGTTCGCGACCGGGACGAGACGATCCAAGAGCTAGGCCGAACCCTTGAGCAAAGCCCTCGCAAGTACAACCTCCGCCGCGCAAACTCGAATTTCGACTACCGTACGTTGCCTACAAATACACATGACAGGACTGTGGGACACGGCAAGGCAGCAGACCTTCAAAATCGTCTGCGTCGCATTCGGTCCAATGATGTAGTCGGTCCCAAATATCCTACTACCTTGCAAAGAATGCATTCTACAAAATCAAGACAAGGCGCAGAGTCGGCGCTTGGCTTTCGGGAAGCGGAGATACATGAGGATACTGAACTTGGGGAGTTGGATTCGAGTGGTGATGGGCTGTTGGGAGCGAGGTTGGACGGAGTAAGTGAACGGCCATATTGGTTTAGCAAAAGGAAGAGTTTTGAAAAGTGGAAGGACATGGCCAATCTTGGTGTTGGATGGCTGAGGAGTGGTTGATATTAGATAGTTGGAGAGGGATAGAGATGGGTAGGTACAACGTTGTTTCTTCGTCTTGCATTGGGTGTGATATTTGGTCATGACTCTATTATCATACGCTCATATCTAATCGTCCTTGTATCTTTTTTTCCCCTTAACCTTCTTACCCAAACTAATTCATATCGTACAGTAGCTTCCACACTTTTTTTTACTTATTACATACACCCAATGTTAATATACAAGATTGACAACACAATCACCTCCTCACGCCCGACTCTTACTCAACTCACTCTGCGCCGTCGCCGTCGGACCCCCCTTAACCCTCTCCCCACCCGTAACCTTCTTCTCCCCAACAGTAATATCATGCAACGCCTGACTCGTAATCGGCTCATTCGCATGGCTCTGCGCATGCGCCGTAGGACCATCCTTAACCGGACCATCCTGGCCCGTAAGTTTCTTCTCTGCCTCTGTAATTTTATGCAGCGTCGTCGAGTCCAGGGTACCGGAGTGCGATGACGTCGTTGCATTCGCAGCGTTATTATTATTATTATTGTTGTTGTTATTGTTGTTGTTGTTAGGACTATTGCCAGATGTCAAGGCCGACTGAGCGATAGATGTAGGACCGCCTTTTATGGCATCCTCACGCCCTGTTATCGCCCTCTCGGCCATGGTGATGTCGTGGATTATGCTCCCCGTGAGTGTCTGGCCGGCGTGTGCTTGGGCTTTTGCCGTGGGACCGTTGGCGACGGGCTTGTCGCTGCCGGTTATGGCCTTTTCGGCAGCTGTGATTTGTGAGATGAAGGTTGAGTCGATTTGAAGGGCTGGCTGCGGGGTCTGCGAGAAGGGGCGCGTGGTGTTGTGGTTGCTTAGGTCGTTGGTGGAGGTTGTGCCGAGGCGCAGTGCGCATGGTGATGTAGGGGTTAGCCGCGCGGTTGGGCGGGCGAGGAGGAAGTTGCGGTTTAGACGGAGAAATTTGGATGCCATTTTTTTTTGGGGGGGGTGGTACGAGGAGGTGTGATATGGTGGTGATTTTGGGGTTGTTTTCGACTACCTTTTTCCTATACAAATGCGAAGGAGAGGGAATCACAAGACGTGAGCTTGTCTTTTATGTATACCGTGATGGAACTCTGATGTAATGTCCATATTCCACAAAACAATGCGCTTAGACCCTTAGAACAGCATACCCGTGTGGGAGAGGTGACGTTACTATGGGTCCCAAGAGATGGCATTCTACGCTGTTTGCTGTTCATGGCCGTGCTTTTTTTTCCCTAGGCCATTGCAAATTTCTGCATCAATGGCGTTTACATTGCGATGATGATCCTGAGATGCAGGGAACCGCATCACCGATGG